GGAAAGACTTGCAGGAACACTGCCACTGACCAGTCACCCAGCCTTGTGACATGAAGTTGCAGGGCCGGAGAACATAAAGTGATATGAAGGCAATCTGTGGAGCTCTGTCCTTGGAATGAGCTATTCAGATAGATCTAGAGTTTGACATCTATGGAGCCAGAAGTTAGTCTATGGTATCTGTCATGGATTGAATTGTGTCTCCTCCACCCAAACATCTATCAATTTAGCTAGGCCATGATTTCCAGTATTGTGTGACTGTCCACCATTTTGTCATCTGATGTGATTTTCCTATGTGTTGTCAATCCTACCTCTATGATGTTAATGAGACAGGATTAGCGGCAGTTATGTTAATAAGGCAGGACTCCATCTACAAGATTGTGTCTTAAGTCAACCTCTTTTGAGATATAAAAGAGAGAAGCAAGTGCAGAGACATGGGGACCTCATACCACCAAGAAAGCACAGGAAGCACAGCGTGTCCTTTGGACCCACGGTCCCTGTGCTGAGAAGTTCCTTGACTGGGAAAGATTGATGACAAGGACCTTCTCCCAGAGCTGACAGAGAGAAAGCCTTCCCCTGGAGCTAGCACCCTGAATTCGAACTTCTAGCCTCCTAGACAGAGAGAGAAGAAATTTCTGTTTGTTAGTCATCCGCTTGTGGTATTTCTGTTATAGCAGCACTAGATAACTAAGACAGTATCACATAAGCATGTAAAAACTGATTGCCGTCGAGTCGATTCCAACTCATAGGGACTCTGTGGGAACTCCCCCATAGGGTTTCCAAGGAGTGGCTGGTGGATTTGAACTGCTGACCTTTTGGTGAGCAGCCAAATGCATACGCATGTAAGACAGTTAATTAATAACAATATCGTGTTATTTCTCTGGATTTTTGATGTTTGTGGTCTTTGTCAGCTTTTAAAAGTCGGTAATTTGTAATTTTTTTTTCATTCTAAATAAATATTCACTTGCATGTCTAATTTTGTATTCTTTTCTTAAAGAGGTCCGCCATGACTGAATGTTCTTCAGGCCCCATAAAACCTATATCGCCCTTGAATAGAAGTTTATCAGAGAATTTTGACTTCCATCCCTTTTCCTACCACCTCCCCCCTACACACAATAATCATTTCCACTAATTTCTCGTTTCATCTCCCTGTGATTCCTTTTGCAAAATTAAGCAAATAGGATTATACGCACACATATTCTTATTTTACCTTTTACTTTATACTAAATTAGCATGCTATATACATTATTCCCATGCCAAAAAAAATTTAAGTAGTTAAATGTATTATTTTTTCATCTTATTTCTTCTGAATTTTGAGTAGTAGTCATCAAAGGCTTTCTCCATTATTAGGTTATAAAGAGATTATCCCACGTTTTCTTCTAGTATTTATATGTTTTCAATTTTGATTCTGATATACCCAGTGAAGTATGTATCCAATATTCTCTATTTTCAAATGGCTATTTGATTGTCCTAACACCATTTATCAAAAAGCCTGTTCCCCTTCCCTAGTGGATTGAGATGCCATCGTAAGCATACAATGATGTTTATATGTTCTTTGCTCTAATTCTGGACCTGTTCTGAACTTGCTATGCTGTTCTGTTGATCTGTCTGTCTACTCATGCATCAATACCGCAGTGTTTTCATATCCGGTAGGGCTAGCTCTCCCCCACCCCTTTCATATTCTTGTGTGTTTATTTTTCCGTAGTTAAAACAAAAAGTCATATTAAGCCAACAACAGAAATTGACTGAAGTTCATTGAATATACAATTCATAAATTGGGGTAACTTTCAACTAGAGAGTCAGAAATGTTCCGGAGATGAGAGAACCTTGAAACCCTCTTATTCCAAATCTTATCTGCATTGCCATGGAGAAAGGGCCAGAACAGAACTGATAAACAATTTGTGGTCAGGAAGGATTTCAGACAGCATTGCCTTGAAGAACAATTAAAATAACTGCTGATTTACCCTAAAACAGCTCTCGGTCTGAACTTTGAAGGCTCTGTTTCCAGAAACTGACTGAATTCTTCAAAAGAGCATGATGCTCAAGGCAAAAGGTCTTACTAGTTTATCTAGACCATTGTTTCACTCGAAGGGACTTTTAGAAAACCAGTTTCTTCAAGGCTCAAGGTTCAAAAGGACATCTAAGGGCAAATGGCCTGGGTGCGTCACCCCAACTGTGTGGGCCCCAGAAATCGGGATTCCAGGAGAATAAAAACTGTTTCTCCCCATAAAACAACAACTTTGGAATCAACCTGTATAGTCTTAGAAAATAATTTGTTAGGTTTTTAAAATTGAAACGAAGATGTTAAATTTTGCATATTAATTTGAGGAAAATTGACATCTCTGTGATGTTGAGTCATCCTATCAAAAAATGAAAGATGTCTTTCCATTTGTTCTAATTCACTTTTGCATCTTCAGGAATGTTCTATGATTTTTCTCATGTAGGTTTCTGTGAACGTCTTAAGTTTATTCCGAAACGCTGTTTCTTTTCTGTTGTTATTGTAACTGGGGTCCATAATATCTTCTTGTTTTTTATTGTAAATATATATGAAGGATATGTTTTTTTCAGGTCATTTTTATGTCCTGCTTCCATACTGAATGCTTATATTGTTAGTATGAGTTTAGGACTTGATTCTCCTGGCTTTTTCAGGTATATTATTATACCATGGAGATCTGGTGGCACAGTGGTTAAGAGTTCAGCTGCTAACCTAAAGGCCAGCAGTTCGAATCCACCAGCCGCTCCTTGGAAACCCTTTGGGGCAGTTCACTCTGTCCTATAGGATCGCTGAGTCGGAATTGACTTGACAGCAAAGAGTTTGGTTTGGTTTTGGTTATCATACTGTATCATCTGCACATGGAAATAGTTTTGCCTTCCCCCCACCCCAGTTTTATGCCTCTAATTTTTTTCTCCCAGCCCTGATTATTTTTTCCAGAGCTGAGAGTGACGGCATCATGGAAAGAAGTCTCTGGGAAGGTTAGAGGGACTCTGATGTGGAACACAAGAGACAAAGAAGAAGACTTTGACAAGAGCTGGAGGGGATGTCTCCCGTTGAGAGGAGGGAAGCAGAGAATGGGCTTTGGCTTCTTAACTCCTTCTAGAGAAGGACCATGTGGTGAAGGGGCAACTGGAACAGGGTGAGTCTTGGAAACAGGGTCTCAGGAAAGGCTAAGGCTGGGATGAAGGAAGGAAGTAAGAAATGCACTTTATTGCTGTGGGGAAGGGAGAGCTAACCCCAAATTCGTCCTAACCCTGGGTTCAGTAGTGAGACCAGGGGAAATTCATTCACAGACACTGTGCTGACACATAATGAACAAATGTCTTAAAGGGCTTGTAACTCTCTGCAAAGGGGTTAGGTTAATCTTAATGATGCGTATAAATTATTACGTCAAAGCCCCTTGTTCTCAAGGAATCGTTTTATTCACTCTATATCAATGGTTGTGCCCATTAGCATCACCTGGGGACCTTTAAGAAAATATCAACTCCAGGCCCCGTCTCCAGGTATTTCATTTGGGGATGGAGTCCCTGGACGGCTGAAGTTTTTGAAGGCACCCAGGTGATTCTAATGAGTAGCCAAGGTTGGGAGCCTGGTGACTACCCCATACAGAGGTAGTGTGGGTCTCTAGTATCTGTACCGGCTTCATTGCCAGTAGGCAGCAAGTTAGCTCATGTGTCCAGGACGCTTCCTTCCATATCAGGGCGGAATACCAAAAGACTCTTTGCCACTGAGTCCATTCTGACTCACAGTGACAATATATGACGGAGTAGAACTGGCCGATAGGGTTTCCAAGGCTGTAAATCTTTAGGAAGCAGACTGCCATATCTTTCTCCCGCTGACAAGCTGGTGGGTTCAAACCGCCGAACTTTTGGTGAGCAGCCCAGCCTTAACCACTGCGCCACCACCAGGGGTCTTCTCCAGGGAGGAACGAAGAAAAAAAACCAAAACACCAAAAACCAAACCCCCTGCAGTGGAGTGGACTCTGACTTACAGTGACCCTGCAGGACAAATTGGAACCCTGGTGGCGCAGTGGTTAAGAGCTAGGGCTGCTCACGAAAGGGTCGGCTGTTTGAATCCACCAGCCGCTCCCTGGAAATTCTATGCGGTAGTTCTACTCTGTCGTAGGGACTCGATGGCAATGGTTTGGGTCTTTTGGGGGGGTCGGGGAGAGGGGAGGTACAGGACAGAGTAGAACTGCCGCATAGGGTCTCCAACGCTTTAATCTTTACGGAAGCAGAGTGCCACTTTTCTCCCGGGAGTGGCTGGTGGATTCAAATCACCGATTGGAACTGCTGACATTTTGGGACCTTTCGGCTGGCAGCCGAGGCTTTAACCACTGCGCCACCAGAGCTCCTTCCAGGGCGGGGGGTGGGGAACCCCGTTGAGTGCTCTATTAATTCAGAGCGCTGGGTCGACAGAGGCCCTGGGACACAGCACTTACATTTTGCTATTCAGACTGCTGATTTTTACCAAGGAGTTTTGCAGATAGGGTCGCCTGAGGCTCAAACAAGTGAAATGACTTCCACCTTTTTGTGTTTTTATCACTGCTGTATCTGCAGAGCCTAGAATAGTATTTGGTACATAGTAGGCGCTCAATAAACATTTGCTTTATGAATAAATTGCCTTATCCGATACTGAAATGATAGTGGCTGAATTCCAGGCAACCTGCATCATTGCTAACTGTAACATCGGGTCCCCGAGACACATTTCCACTTCCGACTTCTTAGTTGAAGCGGGCCTTGCCCGCGACGGAGCTCAGACTTCCTTACAGGTTTGGGTTTGTAGCTGAAGAAGGCGCGTCGCCAGCGGGCACCCACGCCCAGCTGAACCACTCCTCCGCTTGACACCAAATAAGGTAGACCCGACCCTTTGCTACAGTCACGTGAGCTCCTGGGCCCCGCCTGACGCGAGGCTGGCACATGCGCAGAGGTCCCGCGCCGGTTCCTCAAGGAGCAGACGCAGGCTCAGAGACCTCGGCTTCGTCTCTGGCTCCGCCCAGCTCGCCCCTAGTGGGCGGGGCTAAAGCCAGGATGGAGACGAGGCGGTGGCTAGGCGCGTGCGCAGAAACGAGCTGAGGCCGGGGGTGCAGCGGCCGGCCTGGCTTGAGCGATTGGGAACGAGATGCAGGTAAGCGCGGTGGGAGGCGCGGGGTCTGGAGGCCGCGGCTGTCAGTTTATCCCACTCGGGCCGAGCCGGCGGCGAACGTTCCCGACCGGCCTACTAGAAGCGCCGGCCTCCGAGACGGGAAGAAGACCACGCGCATCCAGACCCCGCGCAGGCGCAGTGCGGCCGGGCGGGCGTCGTTCCGCCCCGGACGTGCGGGCTGGGCCCCAAGTTCTAGGGTGACCCCTTAATGCCCCCCACTATCTGGCTTCTTTTGGGCGAGGTCGGCCCCTCCCGGGGCCCGTGAAGGACTTGCCGGATGCCACCTGATAAAATGACTTCCTATTCGTTAACTCCCGTGATCACCTGAGCAGGTGTGTTACGGACCCATTGTACGGATATGGAAGCGGAGGCTCAGAGGAGTGAAGGATCCCGCGGGAGGGTCCTACCACGTGAAACTGGTGGAACTCGTGTTCCTGACTCCCCCCGCCCCGGGTTGCTCTTCCGTTTGGGGTGCGCTCCCTTTCGAATCCGGTTGTTGCGGGGTGTCAGTATTTTTCTAAATGCGTGTCAGTCCTAGGCTTCTGGGAAGGTTATGTGAGTTGTAAGGTGCCGTTGAGTCGGTTCCCTCCCATAGTGACCGCGTGTACAACAGAACGAAACTGCCGGGTCCTGCGCCATCCTCACAGTCGTTATGCTCGCGACCATTGTTGCGGCCACTGTGTCAGTCCATCTCGTGGAGGGTCTTCCTCTTTTTTGCCGACCCTGTAGCTTACCAAGCCTGATGTCCTTCTCCGGGGTAGTAGATGCAGTAGAGCAGTTAGAAGAGTGCCCTGTCCCTAGTGCTTCGTAAGTGTTAGCTCTTGTTAACTGCTCCGTGGGGTCCCAGCTCTTCCTCTCAGGTTTGGCCGTTAGAGAACTGGGTCAGTCTGGCGTCGGGCTCTTCGATCCCCTTTGAGATGCCTGCAGCCCCTCGGGGCTTTCTGATGCGCAAGATGTCAGAGCCTCTCAGCTCTTAGGCCCTGTGCCTGGAAAGTTTTTTCCTAAACTTTCGACCTCCTGTTCGGTTCCTTCTCACCCTGTGGTGATGGTTAAATGTTAGCTTTTCTGAGAGAACTTCTGTGGAACGAGAGCCCCTGTAACTCTCCAGCAGTGTGGTTGTTGGTCATTGCACCGACCACAACTTGTAACTGTATGTTTGTATATTTGCTCATTGCTTGTCTCTTCTCCACTGTAACACCCAGCTTCCCTCCTGTTGAGTACAGTAGTTTATGTATAAACCCGTTGCTGTGGAGTCCATTCCGACTCATAATGACCCTATAGAACTGAGTAGAACTGCCCCATATGGTTTCCAAGGCTATGATATTAACTGAAGCAGATTGCCACATCTTTCTCCCGGTGGCTTCCCTCCACTGACTTTTTGGTTAGCAGCTGAGCACTTAACGACGGTACCACCAGGGCTCCATAATTTATAAATATCTGTTGAATGAGTCACTCCAAGTCATTAATAGAGGCTAGGTCTGATGCCAGTCTGCACATCATATCCTGACTGTTACCCAAGACCAGCTACTCCTTGGGTAGAGGGGGAGGAGTGTAAGGTTGGGACAGAAGCTGTGGACATTTGTCACCTTCTCAGAGATAGGCCACAGAATAATTTGGCTCGCATTCCTCTCTTCCCACCACCTTACCCACTTGACCCCTTGCCCAATATGGCAGCCCCCACACTGGACTTTGCATCCATGGTGTTCTTCCCACCACCTTACCCACTTGACCCCTTGCCCAATATGGTAGCCCCCACACTGGACTTTGCATCCATGCTGTCTTAGTCACCTCGTGCTGCTACAACAGAAATACCACAAGTGGATGGCTTTAACAAAGAGAAATTTATTTTCTGACAATCTAGTAGGCTACAAGTCCAAATCCAGGGCATCAGCTGCAGGAGAAGGCTTTCTCTCTCTGTCGGAAGGAAGGTCCTTGAGATGCATCAGTCTTCCCTTGGTCTGGGAGCATCTCAGCACAGGAACCTCAGGTCCAAAGGACTCGCCCTGCTCCTGGCGCTGCTTTCTTGGTGGTATGAGGTCCCCGTGTCTCTCTGCTTGCTTCTCTCTTTTATATCTCAAAAGAAATTGGCTTAGGACACTATCTAATCTTGTAGATTTCATCAGTGTAACTGTCACTCATCCATTTTATTACATCATAGTGATAGGATTTACAACACATAGGGAAATCACATCAGATTACAAAATGGTAGACAATCACACAATACTGGAAATCATGACCTAGCCAAGTTGACAGAAATTTTTAGGGGACACAATTCAATCCATGACACATGGTATTCTTGATTTTCGCATTCTAGGACCCCAATGCAGACACCGAGTGGAATGACATCTTACGCAAAAAGGGCATCTTGCCCTCAAAGGAGAGTTCGGGAGAATTGGAAAAGGAAGCAGAAGAGGAGGAGCGGCGAGCCCTTCAGGAGGCAGTTGGTGAGCTTGCTCGTCTTCGTTCCCTGTCTGTCTGTCCGGTTAGGAAGCAGCTTTCTAAACCTGTAACCACTGCCGCTAGGATCCTTTGAGCAAGAGGCAGGAGACGGGCTGCAGTGCCGGCGAGGAGACAATCCGTGCGGCCTCAGACGAGTCACAGGATGTCTCTAGCCCTCACCTCCTGGGCCGGGGAGTTGGGGGGACTTTAGAGCTCCTTTCAGTTCCACGGTTCTATGTCTGTGTCGGGTGATTCTGTGATGACCCTGAAGAAAGTACCTCTGTGTCTGACTTGTGGTGTGTGATTCCCTGTGGATGATGTCGTGAAAATTTGTGCAAAAGAAGCTTTTAGTGTTTCTGTTCTTCTGAGGTTTCACTTTGCTGTCTTTGTGGTTTGATTGATAACATTAAATTAAAATAGCTTAATCTGGGGAGACATGAGATGTTTGCAGTATGTGGGGTCTGTACTACCTGAATTGGAATCTGTTGGGGTGCTTGTAAAAATAACTCCCAGTCCCTACTGAGTCAGACTGGAGGTGGGGCCCAGAATCTGCATTTTCAACGAGAGCCTGAAGAGATTGCTGATGTGTGCCAGCGTTTGAGATCAGCCGATCACAGGAGCTAGTCCCTTTGTGCCCTGTTTACAGCTGATTTAGAGAAGGATTTATTGAGAGAAGGATTTATTGCAAAGCATTTATCCGGCAAATGTTTACTGAATGAATACTATGTGCTAGATGCTGCTGTGGAGCCCTGGTGGCGTAGTGGTTAACTGCTATGGCTGCTAACCAAAAGGTTGGCAGTTCGAATCCACCAGCCACTCTTTGGAAACCCTATGGGGGAGTTCTACTCTGTTCTGTAGAGTCGCTATGAGTCGGGATCAAGTTGACAGCAGTGGGTTTTTTTTTTTTCCTATTGTAAGGATCCCTGGTGGTGCAATGGTTAAAGTGCTCAGCTGCTAATTGAAAGATTGGCGGTTCTAACCCCAGCCACTCCATGGGAGAAAAGACCTGGTGATCTGCTCCCATAAAGATTACAGCCTAGAAGACCCTCTGGGGCAGGATTTGCTGGTGGATCTTATGTGAGGTGTGAGAGAAAGATGAGTCAAGGTTGACAGCAGGGCTTTGGGCTTGAACAACTAGGAGAAGTTACTACCAACTGCGATGGGGAGAGCTGAGAGACAAGCACATTTGGAGGGTAAAAGCAGGAACTCAGTTTGGGCCATCGTAAGTGTGAGATGCTTATTAGACAAATGGAGACGTTAGGTGGGAAGGTGGGTCTGGGCTGGAGGCATAAATTTGGGAGTTGTCAGAATATTGCTAGTATTTAAAGCAACGAGAGTGGATGCGATCGTCAAGGGAGTGGGTATCGATAAAGAAGACAAGGAGTCTCCCAGGTGTGAGCCTTGGGAAATGCCAGTCAGCAAAGGATCCGAAGGAGCGCCAGCCATAGAGATCAGAGGAGAGGGGCGTCCTGGAAGCCGGGGGGAAGGTCTTTCAGGGAGGAGCAGTGATCGGTTGGGTGAGATGCTGCTCATCCATCAAGGAGACAAGGACTAAGAGTTGTTGGAGACCGTTGTTGACCTTGATAAGAGCGGTTTTGTGGCGTTGACGAGAGGGACGAAAGCCTGATGTGATGAATGTTTATAGCAAGAAAAAGAAGCTACAGGATTTATAGTAATTGGTTAGAAAAAGATAGGCTGCCTGTCCCTCATAAGAAAGGACCAAAAAGTGGTGTGATAATCCCCTTTAGCTCCAGGAAGGTGTGCTCCCGGGGACACTGACCAGGTTCCTCCGTCTCCTTGGGAGAGGTGAGAACTTTGACACTCCCTGTCTGTGAGAGACTCCTCATCCGTATCCTTATTACTGTGCAGAGGTAAGACAGTCACGCCTGTAGATGTCAGCGTAGTTGCGTCTTTTTAAAATACCCTCGGTTTCTTACTTATTAGTGTAATGCCTTAAATACCTTTTATTTTGGTTTTGGTGGGCTGGGGGTCTTCTGGTGTGGCGTGCACATCTTTAGGAGAAGAGTGAAGAGAAAAAACCAAAGCATGTGCTTCTTCGTCTTTTCAATGTTTTGCTTTTTGCTAACGTAACTACTTTCAGTGAAAACGTATGAAGCTATGACTTTGGAAGAGCTGGAAGATAAGGAAGATGAATTTAACGAGGAGGATGAACGTGCTATTGAAATGTACAGGTTAGTGCTGCCCAGAGGGACAGTTTGGTTTTTTGCTTGATAATAAAATGTGTGTCCTGTAAAAAATTAATTTTCTGGCTAAGATAGCATTTGGGAAGGACTAATTAAATAATAAGATTGCAGATTGCAGTGAACTGTCTGAGGTTTTGTCTTGAGGCAAATAAATAAACCTGGACCTTTTACAAAGGTTGCTGTCTGAAAGATACAGTGTGGGCGCATGTATGTGTGAATATAAGGCGTTTTTCTCCTGTTGTGCAGGCAGCAAAGGCTGGCCGAGTGGAAAGCAGCTAAACTGAAGAATCAATTTGGAGAAGTTTTGGAGATCTCAGGAAAGGATTATGTTCAAGAAGTTACCAAAGCTGGTGAGGGCTTGTGGGTAATCTTGCACCTTTACAGACAAGGGTGAGCTGCTCTTACGCGTTGTCTTTAAAAATGTTTGTTTGAATTTATGTCCTGAACACCTTGAGCTTAATCCATACTGTAGAGTTTATTAGCATTGTGACGTGTTTTGATTGCCAATTTTCACAAACCTTAATGCCTGATTTTCATGTTAAGACTTTCAAGTTAATATTTGTGACTAATATATTAGCCTCGTGTCTTTGTTAACGTGGTAATGAAGACTTTTCTTTTGTTGAAAAGGAATTCCTAAGTTATTTACCCATCTGGAGAAGGTCTGGCATTTCAGAGTTCTGTGTAATTCATCACTCTTGTGGATGGCAAGGGTGACGTTTACAATCATTTTCCATGGGAATTGGTGCAGCATTTGCCCATTATTTCCCACCTGTCCGATCTTGTTCTTGTACAATAGAGCCGTCAGTTGGCTAGGAGCGTCTATAAAGCAGGAAATGCTTTCTGACCTATCTCACACATTCTGAATCTTGAATGTTCTCTCATTCAACCTTAAAGAAGGGTGTAGTGATTATCTTTTACATATAAGCTATTTTTCCATCTTATTATTGGGCCAAATTAAATTGGACTTTGATTTTGAGTTCTGCGTTTTTCCTGGATGCATTAGAAAGGTTTTAAAAAATGCTAGTTGATCTTAGCTAGAGCAGAATGACTTGCGATGCCATTATGAGGTTTTATACAGGGCGGAAGGGTAGTTGAGCTTTGTTTTGTGTAAATACAGAATCATAGCCATGCCTCCTCCTCTTTCTTTCTGTTTTCTAGGATTCCCCTCTGTGCCCTGATAAATCAACACTTCAGTGGACTTGCAAGGAAGTTTCCTGATGTTAAATTTATCAAAGCCATTTCAACAACCTGCATACCCAATTATCCTGATAGGAATCTGCCCACGATATTTGTTTACCTTGAAGGAGATATCAAAGCTCAGTTTATTGGTCCTCTAGTGTTCGGTGGCATGAACCTGACAAGAGAAGGTAAGGAGGTCTCAGAAATGGGCAAAGTCACATCAGGGATGGCAGCAGGATATTTCTATTGAAGAGAGTACCCACTTCCTAAACACGTGTTATGATGATTTGTTAAGTTCACCTGTGCCTCCGTGTGAGTGGTTGTTAAAAGGGAAGAAGCACATTTCATCTCTCATTTTAGACTAGTGATCAGAGCAGTGGTTAAGAGCTCAGCTGCTAACCAAAAAGGTCGGCAATTCGAATCCACCAGCCACTCCCTGAAAAACCCCTGGGACAGTTCTGCTCTGTCCTATAGGGTCACTGTGAGTTGGAATCGACTCAACTGCAACGGGTTTGGTTTGATTTGGTTTACTCGGGGCAGTGAAAACTGGGCCTGATAATTTTCAGTTAAAGGAAGGCACAGTGGATTTAAATATAGGTTTGTTTTATATTCTTGGCTAGTGTAGTTTGTTTCTGTGGTTTAATGTGCTCTAAGTTACAGCTCAACATCACATCATTCACTTTTTATTTCATGTACATGACATGTTGGTGACAAATGCTGATACACACGTTAGCTTTTTCTATAGAAATATTTTCTCAGTTGAATATCTTAGTAGCTTTTCAACTTAAAAGTCTCTTTAATTCTGCCTCTTAACTCCCTGAAGGATATGTTTTTTATTCCTTTTCTTCTCATCTGTTACACCTGGAGATGTCAGTATACATATATACATACAATGTGTGTATATCGACCTGAGGCCAAGTGAAATTCCGTATCTCTTTATTGAAATATTATATCCGTCTATGCTTTACTAGTCTTTAAAAACATAATTTTAAAACATGACTTTATTTACTACTGCAGTACAGTGATTTACCTAATATGGCCCTTCTAGCCCTGCATGGGGCTCTGGTGGCACAGTGGTTCAGAGCTTGGCACTAACCAAAAAGTCAGCAGTTTGAATCCACCAGTCACTCGTTCGAAACCCTGTGAGGGCAGCTCTGCTGCGTCCTAAAAGGTCAGTATGAGTCGGAATTGACTTAACAACAGCAGATTTAGTTTCGTTTTGGTTTAGCCATGCATGGTCTTGTAACTCCCACAGAATGATTGGGTGGGACTATGCAGATAAGGTGCTTGTGGCCCACCAAGGGGATTGGACAGCTTACTAATAATGAAAATAAGGTACATGGCACCCTTGCTAGGGTGGGACCATGCAAATAAGGTATATGGAACCCTAGCGAGGGGATAGGTCAGTTTTACCATCCCACTAGGCTTAAAAGAAGCCAATCCCAAAGTCTGCGGAGGGGACCTTACTACCATCAAGGAAGAAGAGTTGGGAGTAGAGTGTGTCCTTTGGACTTGGGGTCCTTGTGCTGAGAACCTCTTAGACCCAGGAGACAGCTGTAACACTGGAGAAGGCCTGAGAAGCAGCAGCAAGCGCAGCAGAGACATGGCAGCAGCAGAACCAGGAGACTGGCACAAGAAGGTGTAATGGCCTTCCCAGCCCATGGAGTCTACAGTGGGCATGCTGACCCATAGAGCGAGAGAACTGAGCACCTTTGGGTCAAGACTTACTGATGGAGTCGGTTGTCTCCGAGTACTTATTGGCAGAGGTAAAGAGCTTTGTAACACTTGCCAGAGCAAGGCAGAGGCTGGGCCTAGGAGCCAAGGGCCAGAGAGAGGCTGTCCTGATTGAAGAACTATATCTTGAGTCCTTCCTGACCCTGAATTGTAACCTGTTACTTCCCTAATAAACCTCATAATCGTGAGTATGGTCTGTGAGTTTTGTGGCCATTGCAACGAATTAGTGAACCCAGCAGAGGAGAAGTGCCGTGGGAGGAATGTCTGGTGTCTGAATTGGTAAAAAGGGTGGAGAGGGGAGGTTTGTCTGACCTCTGCCTCATAGGATCTGCCTTGGGCTAATGCCGACCTTGATTCTATCTCCTCCCCCTCGTGACATTAGAGGAGGTGAGATGCCTAACCGCTGCCATTCTTAGAACTGCTGAAATACTCAACTGGGAAAAAACTGCGCGCGCGCGTGCGCATACACACACACACACACACACACACACAAATATGTATATAAAGGACAACAGTTCATTAGTATTCAAAGGCATACGGCGTTTCAAACTAAATATGTCTGCATTTTATTTTGACTTTTTTGAATGTACCGTAAGGGGAGAAAGATAGGTATACAATAGTGGTTGCAGTCTTTGTTTCTAGAAACAGTCATGTTTGAGGATTAGCCAAGTTTGTGTTAATAATGATTATTGCATATAAATAATAACATTAAATACAGACATATATCTCCCTGGTGGCACTGGCCTGCTAACGAAAAATTAGCAGTTTAGAACCCATCCAGCTAGTCCATGGGAGAAAGATTTGGCGATCTGCTCGCATAAAGATTACAGCCTAGGAAACCCTGTGGGGCAGTTCTACTCTGTTAGATGAGGTCACTGTGAGTTGGAACAACTCGGCAGCCAGTGACAACATGGATATATAAATATGCATAGATATATAAATATATTTTAGAGTCAAGAATCAGAAATCTTACGAGGTTTTTTTTTTCTCATACAAAAATTTATACACACGTTGTTATGTGACCCTAGTTGTTCTGTCTGTAATGTGACAGCACACTCCTCCTTCCCACTCCGAATTTCCTGTGTCCGTTCAGCTGGCTGCTGTCCCTTTAGAAATCTTAAGAGTTTGAAGAAATCTGTTGACTTTTCATCGTGTTCATCCGTGATACCTAGTGCTGAAAATACCGGTGTTATTTCTGCATCCAGAAAAACCCAAACCTGTTTCCGTCAAGTCGGTTCCGACTCATAGCTACCCTATAGGACAGGGTAGAACTTACCCCATAAGGTTTCCAAGGAGTGGCTGGTGGATTCGAACTGCCGACCTTTTGGTTAGCAGCTGAGCTCTTCACCACTGAGCCACCAGGGCTCCTGTTCATCTGCATAGAGCACTTCAAATTAATATGGTTTCAATAAAATTGATGGTCAGATTTTTACTGAAGTACGTAATTAGCAGAGCATCACTGCATTGATGCACATTGAAATCAGGTGTAACTGAAATCCAGGCTGTTTGTATTAGAGTCTGTTGGCTAGTTCTTTCGCTTTGCTTGGGTTCTTGTCTGCAGTAGGAAAACATACCAGTTGATTTTGCTTCATAAACATCTCACAGCTGTGTATAGTTTCACTGAGTATGAGAAGTATAGGATCTGAGCCTTTAGTTACTGATTCTTTACTTTCAGGTACTTTTTAAATTATTATTATTACTTGGTAGGAATAAAGCAGTTCCAGAGTGTCATGCATTTGTCTTTTGACTATAATAGGCTGAGATACTGGGTGTGAGGCTTCAGAATTTCCTCTTATTAACTAAAATTAGATGTAATGATTAGCTTGCCAGCAGGACTATGAACGTTAATTTCTTTCCTGGTAATTGTCTCAGCTGAGAAACTAGTCATTAGAAGACAAGTGTAGCCTTTGTTTTTTTTTTTTGTAATTTCCACAGTTTCCAATTTATGTAATTTCTCATCTTCTAAAAAAGTGTTTGAAAGTATTTTGCATCTTCCTTTATTAAAGGTCTGATTTTTCTCTTCTCTTCTAGTCAGCTTAACATTATGGCATGAAAATTAAATTGTCATCAAATCTTGATGATTTAGTTTCTACTTCGACAAAAATGTAACTTGGTGAACCGCAGAGTGTGAAGGGCCCGTCCGGGACTGTTCCTTAGTCGATGTGCTTTTTCTCTGTCACCTAGAGTTGGAGTGGAAATTGTCTGAATCTGGAGCAATCAAGACAGACCTGGAGGAGAACCCCAAGAAACCAGTAGAAGACACGTTACTGTCGTCGGTGCGGTGCTCCGTCCCCATGAGGAGAGGCAGTGATTCCGAGGGTGACTGAGGCGCCAGCAGTGACAACCCACCGAACGTTCTTGATGTGACACATCACCTGGATTTTTTAAAAAAAGAAAATGCAGAACTTAATCCTTTAGTTTTTAGCCTTTTATATAAAATTATGTTGAAAATCTTATACATCTCAGAAATAATCATTGCTGGGAACCTTTTTAAATTTTTTTGCATCTCTTTAAATTAATGACACTTCCTTAATAAAAATAAAAACCAGATATTGGTGTAAGAGACGTTTTCCTCACTTACATTTTAAATAAGCCATGAAGGTCTATTCACCGCCTGCTGACATATACTGTATAAAAAGGAATATGGAGTTTTTAAATGTGAATAAATTATACAATAGAAAAAGTTATGAATTAAGCTTTATAGTTACATTATTGTTTTTCTTTATTCTTTTATAAAGGTAGGAGCAGTATTATTAACTCCAATAAAAGTATAAGAATGACCTGTAGGAAAAACAATCTTAGTATTTATTCCATTTAGAAGAAAGGCAATAATTTTTATGAAGCATATGATTTTATCAAAGCAATAACTGAAAGATTCCAATTTACTGCCATCTTTCTTTAAGTTTTATTTGTTTTCTAGTTAAAGTAATACTGCCTCAAACTTAAAATGTCAGCTAATCTTGATTATCGTAAAAGGCCACATGAAATTCTTTTTGGAAATAAGATGTTAGTTATCTAGTGCTGCTATAATAGAAATACCACCAGTGGATGGCTTTAACAAATAGCAATTTATTCTCTCACAGTTGAGGAGGCTAGAAGTCTGAATTCAGGTTGCAGCTCCAGGGGAAGGCTTTCTCTCTCCCTTGGCTCTGGGGGAAGGTCTTTGTCATGAATCTTCCCCTGGTGTAGGAGTTTCTCAGCACAGGGACCCTGGGTCCAAAGGACACACTCTGCTTCTGGCTCTTCTTTCTTGGTGGTGGGAGGTCCCTCTATGCTCACTTCTCTCTTTTATATCTCAAAAGACATTGACTCAAGATACAACCTAATCCTGTAGATTGTGTCCTGCCTCATTAACTATTTCTAATCCTGCCTCATTAACATCACAGGTTCGGATTCACAGCATATAGTATAATTAGATCAGAAAATGGAGGACAACCACATAATCCTGGGAATCATGGCCTAGTCAAGTTGACGGACATTTTTTGGGGACACAATTCAATCCATAACAAACAGATAAACTATGTCTCAATCAAAAAAAGATGTTTTTTGAACCAGAATCCTTAGCATTTAGCACTTTTTGTCAAGTTTACGTTGATGACAGAAAAATTTGGGGAGATATAATTTCCTAGTATTTATGTTGAATGAGGTAGTGCCTAATGCTGGTTCAAATCTTAGCAATAAGAATCAAACAGTTCCTTCAGGCTATTGTAAAATTTTTTGCTATGATTCAAAGAATAGCAAGCAGCTGTGACCATTTTCATCTGTCTGAAGTGTCTATGTTAGTGTTTTTTTCTTCTGTAAATGAGAGTCAGTGCTGCTGATCAGAACCTAGTCTGTAACCGTTCACCTTACAGGGTTTTTCATGAAATTTTAATTGCAGGGTTGAAATAAACTTGGTCAATGCTGTCACTTGTATGCTGGTTTCATGGGTTGTGTAGGAGAGCTGCTTTCTGCGATTTTCTTTTGGTGGCTGACATTGAAATGAAATGCCCCGGGAAAAACAAAGGGGAGGAGCTGAAGCGCCGCGTTTGCTTGAGAGCTGTGGTGCACACACGAGGGACAGAGCTGTGTCCGCGGTGATGGAGAGTGGCAGGTGGCAGTGCGCTGTGGAGCCCATACTCACTCTGCCGCTTTGATCTGTGTACGTGGGACAACTGTGTGTCATCGTCTTCCCTTCATGGCAGACCAAAGCCCTTGGTTGGGCTCGAGAAAATCAGGAGCCAGTGAGGCTGGCTAATGAACCCTGACCAAGAGAACACCAGGACCCAGGCAGCTTTGTAGTCATGCTGACTGAACTTGATGTGAAAAGAGTTCATGTCATTAGTGTCACTGAATTGTACCCTTAAAAATGGTTAGAGTGACAAGTTTTGTATTATGTATTCTTACCACAATAAAATTAAAAAAAGAAATAATTTCTATCCTAAAAGCAGTGTTGTGATTTGGAGCCCGATCTTCACGTTTCTATAGTTTAATTAATTCTGGGAGACTCCCCACAGTCTGTACACCATTAACCTCTTATTTCATTTGGAGGATTGCTCATGTGACATTGACAATAAAACTTGGCTCGTAAACATTGAGGTCATGTAATTCCACAGCAGAGACACATAGTCACCAGAGGAAAATGGGCAGGAAGGATACCGTAGTCTGTTTTCTGTTGTTCAGTGGGGAAGGGTGTTAGTCCTTTCTTCAGTGGGACTTGAGTGCTGGGTGCTTCTTTCCTGGCAGTTCTTTCTCTGTCTTGGAAGAAGTACAGCCAGAGTGCTCCTGGGAAGCGAGGATGGCGAGACTTCGTCTGATGTACTTTGGACATGTTATCAGGAGGGACTAGTCCCTGGAGAAGGACATCATGCTTGGTAAAGTAGAGGATCAGTGAAAGAGAGGAAGACTCTCAACGAGATGGATTGACATAGTGGCTGCAGCAATGGACTCAAGCACAACAACAGTTGTGAGGATGGCGCAGGACTGGGCAGCGTTTTGTTCTGTTGTACATAGGGTCGCTATGGGTTGGAACTGACTCAACAACAGTTCTTTCTTAAGTGATCACTGAGGAAAGGTTCCAGACATATTGAGCTAGTAAATGATTGGGAGATGTGGAATGGAATAAGACTATATATAATCAGATACAAACATTTTTCCTTATTTTGTAGAGAAGATAAAGAATTTAGTTAGATTCTATATGCCTACTTAATTGCAAACCTAAATTTGAATTCCTATGCCCCGAGGTCCCAGACCAATGCACAGGTAAAGAATTGAGTAGCTAGCTTCCTCGTGGTTCAGAAGTACTTCAGAAGAGTTGTACTTGTTCTGAAGGGCAGGTTCAGAGTTGTTTAGAAGGGTGTCCTTTGTCACCAGTGTCTAAATGTTTTGTCATTTATTAGCTCCAGCTTCAAATTCAACTTTCTTGTGTAATGACCCCAAATTTTGACAAAGTATTTTCAAGTGTGGCAGGTCAAATGTGTTGTGACCATGTGGCATGCTTTAGAAACGTTCCTGTAAAAGTGATTTTGTCCTGCTTATGGAAAGCAGCTGTTACTCATAAATATAATATTTTTGACAGGTGGCTTTCAACAGGCACTCTTTATATTTAAATTCACACAACAGATGATCCAGGCTTTCTCCTCTCTCCAAGTGCCTAACTGAGCCCTGCTCCCCACTCACCCACCTCCACAGGTGACCTTGTCTCTGCTGTGCCTACCAGGAATCCTCTTAGCTTCCGGTCTCACCACCTGGTGCCTGACCTTCTGCTTCTGTTCCCTTCAGGCTCAAGTATCTAATCCTTTCCTCTATGTTTTGACTGTATTCTCTCCTGTGTTCTTTAGGACTTTGCTCCATTAATTATCCACATTGATTTCAGTCTCTCTTGATGCATAAACGTGTTTGGGTCCTGTGGCAGAGACTGCTACTTGGCTACCCAGTATCTGTTCTCCAATTCTACTCTAGCAGCAATGGGACAAGCTAACAAATGAAACTCCTAGCCTCCCTTGGAGCTACAGAGGGAGGTAGGCATAAGTTGGCTGGGAGTTCTGAGCATGCTTCTTAAGAGAGGATAGATAAATGGCACATGCCCTTTTTGGCCATAACCCCCTTCCTTCTGCTTTCTGACTGAGGGCGGGGGTGATTGCAGCTTCCTTGGGCCACAAGGTATCTTTATAGATGCAAAGCACTAGGAACTATAGTCCTGAAGACATTGTGGAGCCACCATAGCCCAGCTCTTGACTGCCCTTTCTGGTCTTCTGCTATGTGGGAAAGAAGTAACTTCCACCTTCTATAAGCCACTGTTGTTTCTGGTCTCACTGAGCGGCAGCTAAAGCATTTCCTGAGAAAGCCACCTATCTATTGCTGGTCAAAGAAAACAACCTCAAACTATCATTCAAGCTTTCTACTTCCTACTGTAAAATTACTTGGAAGAACAGAAGAGCAGTCTATATTCCCTGCCTCTGCTTTGTCACCAGGGGTTCTTGGATGGTACAAATGATTTGAATCCACCCAGAGGTGCCTCAGGAGAAAGTCCTGGAGATCTACTGCCAAAAGGTCACAGTCATTGAAAACCCTGTGGAACACAGTTCTACTCTGATGCACATGGGGTCACCACGAGTTGGAATCAACTTGATGGCAATTGTTTTGGTTTTTTTACTTTGTCACCATTACCTTTCAGTAACATCATGAATCAGACTTAAAAAAGTGTTATTATTTTTATTTACTTATTTAATATATAGTTTTAAAATTTTATTAATTTTGTTGTTGTTGAGAATATACGCAGCAAAACATACTGCAATTCAACAGTTTCTACACGTACAATTTAAGAACGTGGCTTATATTCTTTGAGTTGTGCAACCATTCTCACCCTCCTTTTCTGAGTTGTTCCTCCCTCATTAACTTAAACTCACTGACCCCCTAAGGTTCCTATCTAATCTTTCAAGTTGCTGTTGTCAATTTGACCCCATATAGATAGTTCTTAAAAGAGCATAATTCTCAAGGCAGACTTTTTTTTACTAGCTAAGCCAAATTATTGTTCGGTTTTAAGGTGACTTCAGGGGATGTTTTTGGTTTAAGGTTTAAAGATTATATCAGGGCAATAGTTTCAGGGGTTCATTCATCCACCCTCCATGGCTCCAGAAAGTCTAGAGTCCATGAGAATTTGAAATTCTGTTCTGCATTTTCCCCCTTTTGATCAGGATTCTTCTATGGAATCTTTGATCAAAATGTTCAGTAATGGTAGCCTGGCACCATCCACTTCTTCTGGTCTCATGGCAAAGGAGGCAATTAGCCACACGTTCCATATCCTCCTCCTATTCCTGACTCCTATTCCTTCTTCCTCTGTTGCTCCAGGTGATTAGAGACCAATTATGGTGCCTTGGATGGCTGCTTGTAAACTTTGAAGACCTCAGGCACTGTGCAACTAATTAGGAGGTAGAACAGAAGCACTAAACATGTTATTAAGCCAATTACTGGGATGGCCCATGAAACCATGACCCTAAACCTCCAAACCAAGGAATCAAATCCCATGAGGTTTTTGGTTGTACATAATCAGCCTCAGCAGCTACTCTTTTTTTTGTAAATGTATCTGTTATGGATTGAATTGTGTCCCCCCAAAATTTGTGTCAACTTGGCTAGGCCATGATTCCCAGTATTGTGTGATTGTCCTCCATTTTGTCATCTGATGTGATTTTCTTATGTGTTGTAAATCCTACCTCTATGATGTTAATGAGGCAGGATTAGAGGCAGTTATGTTGAGTCAATCCCTTCTGAGATATAAAAGAGAGAAGTTAACAGAAAGACAGAGGGATCTCATGCCACCAAGAAAGTAGTGCCGGGAGTGGAGCATATCCATTGGACCCAGGGTCCCTGGGCTGAGAAGCTCCTAGACCAGTGGAAGACTGATGACAAGGACCTTCCCTCAGATCCGAAAGAGAAAGAAAGCCTTTCTCTGGAGCTGGTGCCCTGAATTTGGACTTCTAGCCACCTAGACTGTGAGAGAATAAATTTCTATTTGTTAAAGCCATCCACTTGTGGTATTTCCGTTATAGCAGCACTAGATAACTAAGACGATATCTGTCACACAACTTTTGCCAGTTCAGCTTTTACAGATGTACAACTTATTGACAGCAATTACAAT